CCGGGTAGAAAGCCATTTCTACCCGGAAAAGCTCACCAGAAGCGCTGGCGCCGCCATCTTTTTTTGATGAAAAAGTGCTTCCGGTGAGGTCACCGGAAGCACTTTTTCATCAAAAAAAGATGGCGGTGCCCAGCTGGTGCCGGTACCGGGCCGCGGCGCCCAGCTGATGCCTGTTCTGGGCCGCGGCGTAAAAAAGGTTGGGGATCACTGATCTAAAGGACTGTTGCCATTGTCTCACTGCTATAGAAAAAGAAACACAAGACAAGCAAGGCAATAATTTTATTGGACCCAAACACGTGAGAACTCAGGCTGATATTCAGAAGTTGTTTAACAGTTCATCATATCTTCTCAATTAGGCCAAGCCTGCAGCTATTTCAGTTAAACTAGATACTTAGCCATGAAGAACTTGATTATGTTACAGTTAAGCCACACCAGCAGTTTCAAGTTACTAAAAAATATTCCGTGACTTAGAAAGTAAACAATGCTTTAACTAGGTTGACTAGCTTCATGCTTTGTTTCTTAATCCATTTATCACAGGAAAAAATCCAGTGATTATTAATTTGGGATACAATTTATGCATATATACTTTTATGTATGTGCCATTGAATATGTAAGATTTTTGTATGAAGTATTAAAAGGCATAGGGTGGGGCAGAGATTTTGCTAAATCTTAAAAACAAAATTTTACATGGTAGTTATATAATACAAGTAGTCGTCAAGCCTGTCCATTCCATTCTTAACCCAAAGATTTATGGGAGTGAATCTTATACCTTGAACGAGATCACTCCCTCCTTTCGTGTACACATTTACTAATCAAATGTGAATCTCATTAAGTACACATGAGGTATTTCAGGGTGAGGAAGGTGATGGGGTGCCTACTGACGGTACAGGCCACCTGCCTAAGATCACCCAAGGCCTCTCCGTTCACCAAAATATCTCATTCCCCCCAAATTGCTTTCCCCCACCCAACCTGCTATGATGGGTCACTTATCTTGTGAAGATCTAGCATGAAGTTTTCTCTCCAGCCTCGTGTGCCCCTCTGGAGTTCTGTTTGGGCCTCTGCAGGCCTCCTCTGGCCTATTGCAGGCCCAAATGGGACTTCTGAGGGGCAGATTCTCCCCTCAGAAGGTCCATTTCAGCCAGCAACGTGCAGGATGAATGTTGCAAAGCCATTGTGGTTGTTTGTAAGGGTGAACAACTGCCATGATGCTGCAAGATTAGTAGTTTCGGGTCTTGTTTGCAAACCCTAGGGGCACTTGTTCCATTACTTCAAACATTTGCTAAGGGAATGCTCATAACCTGGAGATTATCTGTAATTTTTCATTTCTAATGATGGAGCAAAATGGGTCTGCACCATTCTATTCACTATTTCTAATATTTTTATTCAGAATTTTGTTTTGCATAAAGAACAGCAATATGATGATTGTGGAAGGATTGGTAGGACTTTTATTGTTCATGTAAAATGCCATGGAAAGCGGAGGTGGGGATACTGTCTCAATGATAGATAGACATAAAGGCAAATCAGAATGCTGCTTATTATGAGCTCACCATTGTCAGTCATAGCATTTTTGGAAACGGAACAATTTGGCTGTGAAGAAAGATTAGTATTCACTTCCCAATTTGGTTTGAGATGTATGGGACCAACTTCCATCAGCTCTAGGAATTCTTCACCAAACAAAAGTTAAAATCTAGGAAAAATAATTGATTCCAGGTACAAACACAAGCAAAGTTTGAATTAACATACATTTTATACAAAGAAAACCAGCAGTGCCATTGTATTACAGGTTCCTCTATATTTTTATGCAATGAAAGTACATATTGCATATTGATCTGAACAACAAATATTGAATGCAAAACGGATCTGAGGAATCAAAAGATGTAGATCCCTTGACTTTGACACTAGAAGTGTGAATTTGACTAAAAATTAATAGGAAACTTGACTAGGCTGGAATACTAAGATGCAATTGGTCTTTTTTCATTCTTCAATAAAGATACTTTCTACAAAGCTGGCTGTACAGGTTTCATGAGCAAATTAAATAATATACTCAGCAAAAGGCACTGATTCCAATTTTTTTATGAGTGTCATGACACCAATTAGCAAGACATAATGGTGTTCTGAGGAGTGCTTTTTCAAAGAACATGGTATAAGTGGGGTAACTTGATTCCTCAAGCCATTTTTCTTATACATATTTACTTATAAAGACATCATGACGAATTGGGCCGCCTTTCACGGGTTTATGGCAGTTCTAATCACGTACTAACGTGTCTGTTGGACCAGAGGCCCATCAATTCCGGCACGAGGTAGCATGAAGTTCATTGGGCAGGAATACGCCGTCCCCAAATCATTGTTACCCGCGTGCAGAAACTTCAACTCCCAGAATCCCAGGCAGCGGTAACAAAACACGCCCTAAATTCTATTCTTAACACAATAAAGCGGATGATTTTGGAATAAATCTTCAAGAAAGTACGCTTGCTAAATAGCTTTCTTCCACGGCGCCGTGTGTCTTAAAGGAGCGTCCCTCTCTCTTTCCTCTTCCTCCGGTTCCCTGGAGAGCAAAAGGACTGAAAGGAGAAAAGGGCGGGCAGAGGGAGGGTGGTGCTCAGCCAGTGTTTTAAAAATCAATACACAAAGCGATAAATATTGAACTCGAGGGACCGGTGGAAGAGAGGGATGCCCCTCATGCTTTAGGCCCCACCGTTTTCGCCAACCAGGGGTCTTCCAATCAGCCACCGCCTCCTACCACCAGCCTTGGGCGCTTTCCCAAGCCTTTTTCACCTGAGCGCAACCGCGGGCGATGACGAAACCTCGGCAACCCCGCCTATTGCCGGTGATCACGTGGATGCAAACGCTTCATACAAGCCAGGATTTGGTCAGCTGTTGCTGCATTTGTTAGCTTTGTGGTGGCGCGCGAGGAGCTTGAGAGTCGTGCTGGTTGCTGCTTTTTGCCCGTTCCCTTCGCTCCTGCCGAGCCGCGGTAGCCCGGTAAGTAATTTGAGGCTGGAAAGAGAGGACGGACGAAAAGATGGGGAGATATAATAGGAACGTGGCGGGAATCGCCTTTCCTACAACGAGGTTGCCCTTGCACGTCGATTAGATTCTTGTACTTCCAAATGGGTTAGACTTCAAGCCCCATTATCCCCAGACAGCGCTGAGTGGGTATTGTGAAATCCCAAACCCTTTCAGGAAGCAGCCGGTTCAGAGAGAGGAAGCTGCTATCCTGGGCCGCCAGTTTCTGAATGGATAGAGACCCTCCGCTCTTTCTTTCCCGCATGAAGACGTTCCTTCGTGTTTTTAAATTTGATTTGATTCCACCCTTCACTCTGATTGCGCTTTTATAGTGATTTGGTATCACCAAAGTGGCTTAACGGAGGAATTTCCATTCCATCATTAACTTTGCCGCCCTGAAAGATTCGCTCCGAAAGTACGGCGCATAGAATCCTTGTCAAATGAGCTCTGGAACCCGAACTGGACCAGAATTAAATCTTGTACTATCGTTTTATTTCCTGGGATCTGATACTTTTGCCCAGGGTGAAAAGATTAGTCAAAGAGAATAATGATTATAATCACAGGGAACAGTATGATTTCCTCTGCTGCATCTGTTTGGAAGGACGTCACTATGATTAATTCTTCCTATATTATTACAGCACTGACTGTAATGAGGAGGCAAATTTATCAGAGCAGGGATAGACTTAGACATCCTTGTCGTTGTCCCCCCCCCCCCCCCGAATTTCGCATTCGTGAAAAACACTGGAAATTAAAACAATGGTATTCTGGGAGCATTTACTTTTTACTGAATTAAGTTTTTCCTCAGTGCTGCAAGATAGACCACTTCTCCCACGTCTCATAGATGTGTGTAAAATATAGTCAGATTTATTCTATGGTGTGATCAAAACTAAAAAGCCCATTGAAAGTAATCATCTTTTTAAATGTGTTGTAAAGAAAAGGGTAATCTGATATAAGTAAATATATAGATTTAAAACCTATTCAGTTATTAAGAAAGAGATGTTGGCTTTGCAGAACCAGCTTAAATTAATCTTTTTGAGTGAATAGAAATAAGTTTGTACTATTTGGAGATAAAATAGCCTTTCTCAGAATATGAACTAAGCAAGGAACAGAAATCAAATCATAAGAAAATTGCTGAAGACAATGGGATGACCTGATTTCTGAAAAGAAAAGTCTATGTATTATATATTCAAACTTGGAACATGGGCTGCACTGCTTGCCTCTATCTCTGAGTGTATAACTACATTTCTGGTGTGAGCCTAACATGTTCATTTGATTTAAGAAGATTTTTTAAAATATATGAACATATGAAGAGGAACTCCAAAATCAGCTGAATTCTCCAGAATTCTTCATCATATAAGAGGTTTGGATAACTTGTATGTTTTTAAAAACATCTTTTTTAAAACAGAACTGTATATTAAAAATATCATTAAAATTGCTTCTAATGTTCTGTAGTTGTGAAGGATTTTGGTATTTTTTTTACATTAAATTAATGTATGAAATGGATGGGTACTATTGTCTTGCCACTCCCCAGTATTCTGTGTTTTGTATTAATGCTTTCAGTGCTTGCGAGAAGAACTCACCACAATTCATTTGTGCCTTTGTGTCATTGTTGATTCCTGAAGAGTTCAGCATTAGTCCCTGCTGTTTTCCTCACTAGAATTTGGAAGGGGTTTGCCTTTGCTTGCTTCCTAGATTGAAAGAGTGTAAGTGGACCAAGGTTGCCTCATTGGCATTGTGCCTCAGATGGAAATAGTATTTATGATCACCAGATTTGTGGCACAGTGCCTTAACTGCTACACCAAACATGCTCAGAATTATTTCAGGCAAACTGGTAGAACTTTATGTATATAAATTAATATACATTCTTATATATATATGGCTGCATGTGTTATAAATATGATAGATTCATATTTAATAACTATTTTAATAATAGTTTAAAAGCATTGTTGCTAGTGCCAGCAGTTGCCAACCGGTGGGCCGCAGCCCACTGGTAGGCTGTGAGAAAATTTTGGTGGGCCACAGAGAAATCTCACCCCAGAGCACCCCCCCCCAAAGCAATTAATCCAGGCTGCGCAGAAATACAAGGCTGCGCTGCCCACATGGCCTGTGAAAACCCTCCCTACCCACTCACTCCTTATCCAGCAAACTTGCCTGCTAAATCACTATTTTTCCTTTTTCCGACCATCATCTGTTCTGCTGTGCCGGGAGACTTAGATTAGCTAGGAAGCAGGAAATGGTTGGATTAATTGCTTTCCAGCTAAGCATAGCCGAACCTCCCTTAGGACTGAAGGTTTGCTTGCAAGCAAATTCAGTGCAGACTCACGGCAAGCAAATTTGAGAGACTGAGCTAGCCGATGGCAGATAGATAGATCACTGAATGATTCTGTGAATAACTCAATCTGCCTGCTTTGCCTGATTTTGGATAAAAGTTGCTTTTTTATATAAAAAATTCAATATTTACATGCATGGTGTGTTGTGAGTTAATTTTATGAGTTTGCTTGCAAGCAAATTTTATGTGACAGACTGAGCTACCCAATTGCAGATAGATAGATTTCTGAATGAATCTGTGATTCTGTGAGCAACTCAATCTGCCTGCCTGCCTGATTTTGGGTAAAAGTTGCTCTTTTTTAAATAAAAAATCCAATATTTATATAAATATTTATAATATTTACATACAAGCCATGCCCAGCCAGTCACATGACCACCAAACCACACCCACAAATTAAGCCACACCCACAGAACCACATAGTGGTCCCTGGGATCTAAAATTATGAGTTTGGTGGTCCCTGAGGTCCAAAAGGTTGGCGACCCCTGACTAGTGCCATTCAACCACAATCTTATCTAATGTCAATCCTTTGTGGTAGGTAAGAGATTCCTACAATGCTCTTTACTGTTGTAGGGTAGAGCAGTGATCCCCAACCTTTTTTATGCCGCGGCCCGGTATCCCCAACCTTTTTTATGGCGCGGCCTGGTACCGGCATCAGCTGGGCGCCGCCATCTTGTTTTGATGAAAAAGTGCTTCCGGTGAGCTTTCTACCCGGAAAAGCTCACCGGAAGCACTTTTTCATCAAAACAAGATGGTGGCGCCCAGCAAGCCAGCGGCCCGGTAGGACTTGTTCCACGGACCAGTACCGGTCCGCGGACCGGTGGTTGGGGACCCCTGGGGTAGAGTAACAGAATCTTGACCCTCCTCTTTCAGAGTTTATCTCTACTCCATCTTAAACAAATCCTCATCTTCGAGTATAAGTTTTTTTCTCCCATTTGTTTTTTTCTCAAGAATGCTTTTCCCAGTAATCTCTTCAGGGATAACCCTTTTAATAGTTCACTCATTCCTTTTCCATTCCCAATGAAATTGGGTATTTGGAAACTAGAAAAAGGGCCTGAAGAAAAGAAGCTAAGGCAGAAGCAAGTGTGGTCTAATTGGCACCTTGTTTGATTCCCCCAAATCCTTCCTATAGTAGGTGGAAGCATGGATTTCACCCTGGCATTTAGGGGGATTGGGAGAAACTTAAGAGCAACATAGGTGCTTTAAAAAGCTTAAGAGCAATATATGTGCCTTAAACATTGCCCATTTGATCCATTAAAATACCAGCTGAACCCCCACCCTATAAAAATGAGCTTTCCTTTGGAATAGGGAACTTGACATGCTGTGCAATCTGTTGTGGCCTCAAAATATGTGATTGGGTTTAATATAGATATTCAGCTGAACACACCTAGATTCCTCTTATGCTATGACAGTTTAACAGACTGGCCAAATACCGTTTGATGTTCTTAGCTATAAACTAAGTTCTGTTTCTAGATATAAGGTGTTGTCCAAAGGTTAAGCAAAGCAACTTTAGCATCTTGTGTAACTGAACACTCCACAGCACTTTAAAAGGAATATTAATACAGGAGGAAAGTACAGTACAACTTGTTAGTCTTATATGAGAGGATTCAGTTACTTGAGAATAGAATACATTTGGTGGCACTAGAGCAGTTTGGTCTAGTGGTTAAGGCACCAAGCTAGAAACCAGGAGACTAAGTTGTGACTTTTGTCGCAAAAGCCATCTGAGTGACTTTTGGCCAGTCAATTTCTGTCAACCCAACTCATCTCACAATGTTTTGTTGTGTGGAAGATAGGAGGAGGAAGAAGTATTAGATATGTTTAGCATCTTGAGTTATTTATAACAATAATATAGATGGGATAATAAGTTACATCTTACCCACCTGTATCCAGGTGATATCTTTTATATTACATCTCTGCAATGTTAAAAAAAGCCAGTAAATCGTCTTTTAACAATTCCACTCTTCAGCTGTGAAGCCAGTGTGTACTTATCCTCAGGAATAAAACTCAGGAATAAAATAAGTTTTTCAGGAAAAAAAAGGTTTTTCAAAATTCTCCACTAGTTTTTTTGGACAGAAAAATTGAGTAGATGATGTGTCTATATTTCTTGAGAGGGAGAAAACATTCTCCAACAATTTCTCAAGAAGTATTGCTTTTGAAAGAGTTTAGCAAAAAGATTTTTTATTTGGAATTGATTGAAGGGTAGGAAACTAGAGAAGCTTCAGGCTGCTGAAGTTATTATGAAGTTATTATGATTATATGAAGAAAGCCAAGACATCCACATTCACCTATCTGCCATCTTGATATGAAGTAGAGTAGTTTGTTTATTAATTTATATGGCTGCCCATTGAAAGTATGTACCATGCATCAGTCAAGTAAAACATTAATTAAATAAAACAATCATTACCTAAAACCATAATAAAATAATTACTAAAAGAGCATTAAAAGCTATAAAAGCAGAACTAGAATAAGAAAAGAAAATGATAGATGGAGAGATGTTAATAACACAGCCTTTTCATGAGATCCTGAAATCCATTGGCTTGCTTCCATAAACAAGTCTTGAGGGACCTCCAAAAGCTCAGAGGTGATGAGGCCAACCTTATCTCTGGGGGGGAGAAGATTCTACAATCCAGGCAGTGTTGGCCTCATCACT